GAATGCTTTACAAGCTGACAATAGACTCAATAAGGCTGGAAGGGACCTTGGAGGTCCTCTAGTCCAACCCCTGCTCAAGGTAGGAGACCTCATACCATCGCTGGTCCAGTGGTTGTCCAGTCTATTGTCAAAGGGATGGAAGAACCACAACTCTGGGAACCAGTAGAAATGATGTCTTACATTTCCTCCTTTTGCAACTCAGATGATTCGCGCAGCAGAGGGGATGACCGCCCTTCAGCTATTCTACTTACTGGGTAAGGTGAGAAAATGGACCAGAGAGCTTCAAATTGGCGTTTATGGAACACTGCACCACAGGTTGTTAAACTGGTTGCAGCCCGGCCCTCGGATCCATTCTAAGATGGCGAGAGCCTCGATCCCGTTGATGTATCCGAGGTTGATCTTTGTTATCAAGATTGGGGTGTGTGTGTGTGTGTCTCCAAACTTGGCCATTTTGAAGTCCTGTGGACTTCAACTCCCAGAATTCCTCCAGGGGGGAAGAATCCTGGGAGTTGAAGTCCACAAGTCTTCAAAGTTGTCAGATCTAGGGCATGTTTGAGCTTGGTGAGTCTCGTAGAAGTAGATAATCTTGGAGCATCCGGTCTCCTCCAGGCCAGCTTCGTTTCCACCTTGGCTCTCCAGAAGACCCAAGTATTGACTGACTTGTGTACCCCCTTGCTCCAGAAACCTATGTTAGATCCACCATCGATGTTCACCTGGTTATTGTGGCCTGCCGGCGGCTGGCAGAGCTAGCAGCTGAGCCAGACAACAGTGAAGAGGTTGGGGAGGAACTCGGGCCAGTCCTGAAGGCTGAGGAAGGCTCGGACAAGGGCTCTGCATCAGAGGCAGAGATAGGGCCAGGGCAGGCTGGCAGTCATCCGCTGCCTTCGGGCTCGAACAAGCAGTTAGGCCGGGCGGTGGGGGGGGAGCTTTTGAAACCAGTCCCCATCCTGCACATGCACAGAGCTGCCGAAAGGAAGGCACAATTAAGAACTCGGGGTCGACGTGGGAGTAAGGCCACAGGTGGACGATGAATGGCCCCTCCCATCAGGATTAAAAGAGGAGCAAAGGGGGAGGGGGCTTTTGCAGGAAACCATTCATTCTTTGTTCCAGCCTCGTGAAGATTTGTCTGTATAACCCAGCCCTTCCCTGTCAGCACTGAGTGTGGAACTATTTACCGGGCAGCATTCCAGGACTGATAAAGGTCTGAGCTCATTAGTCTACCTTCGCGAGACTGTTTGCCACGCCGTTGGCTGACTATGAATGAAATAAAATTCCCATTAATGTAATAAAACGTTTTTGCCAGGACTCATAATGGACTGAGTGCTTTTTGGGGAGGCCTAGGACACAACACCGGTTCCCAACTGCCTCTTTTTTGGGGGAAGACTAGTAGTAATAGAATTGGACCCCAGGAATGTTCTGTAAAACCCGTCAAGGTAGGACCCATGAGATAGGAGTGAGAAGCAAACTGGAGGATGAAAATCCAAGCCAGCCCATCTTGATTTTACTTAGGGGAAAGTTGGAGCAGAGCGAAAAGGTGGACAGTGTTTTTGACGTCCGTATACCTTACGACAATGAAGAGTTTTGGAATCAAATCGTAGCAGATCAGGGTTGAATGGCGGGATACCTGGTGCTCTCCGAGCTGGGTGGTTTTCTTGCAGACATTTTGGGACTATGCTAGGGAACATTATCGGTGCTAGAAGGGAAGGGGTTTGCAGAGAGGAAGAGGAAGAAGTGGAGGATGAGGAGCATGGAGTCCATGGTGCCCTCTGAGCTTGAAAACATTTCGTGACCCAACTAGGTAATGTCCTCAGTGGTAGAAGGAAGGAGAAGGAAGAGGAGTGTGAGTACGCAAGAAGGAAGGAGGAGAAAGAGGACAATAACTGCGTGATACTTGATGCTCTGAGGTTGGTTTTCTTGAACACCCTTGATGACCCAACTAGATAACATCATCAGTGATAGAAAGGAGGAGGAGGACTGTGGGGTCCTTGGTCCTCTCTGAGCTGGGTAGTTTTCTTGCAGACATTTAATGACCCAACTAGGGAACATCATCAGTGCTAGCAGGGCATGTGAAGTTTGCTCTCGATTTATATACTAGTAGCTTCCCCTGTCAACGTTGGGCAGAAGCGTGGCTTTCTCCTTGGCAGTTCCTTGATTAGGTTACAGGTAGGTCTCGACTTATGACAATTGAGCCTCTGATGACCCAAAGGGGCAAGGTACAAAGGCAACACAGTCAGGTAATCAGTAGGAGTCCCTTTATTAGCTCCAACTTTGCCCACAATGTCCTGGTTACCTTCTGGAATGGAGGCAAAACTCTTCCAGGAACAGCCTTTGGCTGCAGAGAATCAAGCCCAAAACGTGGTCAACAAAAACTGTAACTATAAGTCCAAACAAAGCAAGAGGAGGTAATTAGTCTGGCAGGGCAGGAGAAAGAATTTCAGGTGTGAAGGAAAGGCTGTAATTCAACACGGTTGGGAAGATGCCAGGAACGCAGATAAGCAGTCAAGATAAACTCATGTTTGTTCCCAGTAGATGCCGCACTCAGCTTGCATTTCTTTTAAACTCCCTTCCCAGGTGTGGCTAAGGGAATCAGGGCCCTTTCCTCCTCCATAAGCCATGCAACACGTCACTATCTTTTCTGTTCCTCCCTGCATGCCCTAGGATGAAGAGGGGGTGGGCCTGGGTCTTCCTCTGAACTCCCTTCTCCTTTGTTCTACCTCTTCCCTCCTCTGTTTCCTCCACAGCTAACAGAGCCACACTCCCACTCCGTCAGCTGTTCATCTTCCTCCTCAGATTCAGACTCCAACAGGGGCATGACAGAGCCCCACATTTCTGTTTGTTTAGCGAATCCTGTCCCATTTGACAGCCTTCTTTGCCCTGGTTGTTAAATGAATCAATGCAGTCGTTAAGTTAGTCACACAGTTGTGGTGTGACTCTGCTTTCCCCATGGACCTTGGCCTGTCAGGTTGCAAAAGGGGATTGTGTGACCCCCGAGACCGTCACAAATACAGTTGCCAAGACTGAATTTTGATCACATGACCGTTGGGATATTGCAATGGTCGTTAAGTGTGAAAATCCGGCATAAGTCATTTTTCTACAGTGCCGGGTCACTAAATAAACCATTGTAAGTCGAGGACCAACTTTATTGTTTCCTGTTCTCTGTTTTGTCATTAATATAGTACATAGATGAGAGTTTAACAGGCAAATAAAATTAGTAAATTATCAGCAACTCAGTAGTAATCTAGTAGTAACTCAGTAGTAATCTAGTAATAAATTAGTAATCTAGTAGTAAATTAGTAGGGCCTGTTTTAGAAAGTGAAATAGTTGTAAAATATTAATCAGTATTCAAGTAGGGGAGACAATATACGTCTAAAAGTGTGCTAGTTATTTTTTGAATGTACTGTACTTTTTAAAAATATTCCATTCCTTTTGTTTTGTTTTTTTCTTTTGAAAATTTTTTTTGGGCGTTTTGCATTGTAACTATTTTTTTGGGAAGAAAATAAAAATGGAGCTTTTTTTGAAAAAAAAGAAAAAGAAAGAAAGAAAACACACAGAGAAGGTTCTGCTCCATTCACTTTATTAATAATGACTCATTTTAAGTTGTTTCTAAATTGTCGGGGAATTCCAGCCTCGCGAAACACGAAGAGGTTTTGCCGTTTTCAATTCGAACACAAGACAGGATCACACACACAAAAAACAGGAAGGCTAGAGAGATGGAGAAATAAGCGAATGAGAGAAAGAGAGATTGACATATACACAGACGCACAGAGGGGTGGGTTGCTACCGGTTCGCAACGGTTCAAGTGAACCAGTAGCTAATGTTATCATTTCTAATAGCCGGTTCGGCAAACTGGCAAACCCCACCCTTGGCTGGCTCTGCCCACCCCCGCCCCACCCAGGAGCTCCCGCGTGGCCCCGTTTTAGATGCCAGGTAAGTGTAGGGCCCGCACGGCGGCTCGGGGAGGACAAAAAATGGGCCTCCCAGAGGCTCTGGAGCCCAGGGAGCCCGTTTTCACTGTCCCGGAAGCTCGAGGAAAGCCTTCGGAGCCTGGGGAGAGCGAACATGGCCCACCCACCCAGCAACCAGCCAGAGAACCGGTTGCTAAAATTTTTGAAGCCCACCACTGCACACACACACACAGAGAAACTATGCTTTAAGGAATAAAAATTAATAATATTTAAAAAATGCAAAATAGTGGAAAGATTCCTCATAATTATGCGCTGGTCCAAAGATTTTTTTCCCTGTGAATGCACCAATTTTGGTTCACTTTCTCCGACTGTGTTTCAAATTTGAAGGTTCATTATTTAACTGTGTGAAGTGTGTAAGACTTAAGTGTTTTCTCCTGTTTTTTTTCACGATCATCAAAACATTTTTTTGGTTTTATAAATAAATGGGCAAACCAGGTTAAAAACAGGGGAAAACCCCCCCACTCCTACCAAAACTGTGGATTCTCAATTTTTCTGTTCAAAATCTCCTGGTGGGGCTTTCCTAATTTTTTCCCCTATAAATCTGATTTATTTAATGTTTTTTTCTCTTTCTTCCTAGGTAGGAGGGAAGTTAGTGATCCAAAAACATGGAAGAATGAAAAGGGGAAAAAAAAAAAAAGAGTGAAATCGCACAAAAACGAACGGATCTCGGAAGCTGCCGAAAAATTCCTCCTGGTGGTGTATGACAAATGCTACACAAAAATTCCTTCTGGCCCCTTCCTTTGATAATGTGTTTTTTTTTTTTTGCAATTTTTTTTTGAGACACGTGATAAATGCATTGCGAGATTATATATATATATATAAACATATTTATACATATATATATATTCGTAGAGCGGAGGGTAGGGGGTGAGCCTAAATTACGGGGGGCGGA